AATTCTAGAGAACCCCAGGTGCCTCTTCTAGGCATGCATACACTTAAGGTAAAATCAATGAAGTGAAATGTAATGGTGAACAGGAAGGCAACATGTCATGGTCTTTGCACAATTGAGTATTTAACGTCTCGGGAGTTACTGAAGTCTTCTTCTATGAAGCAGATTCCATCTCCTGTTTCTTATAAGAAGATTCACAATATCTTTGAAGCTTGATAGGGGCATGACTGAATCTGTAATTTGCAAGTTAAAACTCACCATTGTAGCCAGCTTTCAAAATGCAAAGATAGACCAAGAATTGAAATCTTAATGCTTCCCCTCTAATTTGAGTGGGGTTAGGGTCCAGCTGTCTGACAAAGGGACCAAACAGGGTGGGCCTTCCAAAGACACTTTATATTTTGGATACAGAAGCAATACAGAAGTGAGGTACAGCCCATTTGAATTGGTAAAATATGTAAATCCCTGCCTGCTAAACTGGCAGAGATTAATGTCTGACTAGGAGTAGGAAGTGCCACCTGTACAATTATACAGGGCATGGAGGTTTACCCTTGGCCGCATCACGGGTTTGATTTAGAGACTCTATTTTGGGATCATACATAAAGCCCTGCGCCGAAAGCCCGGCTTTTTGTGCCCTGATTCTCTGCACCACCGTCCACTCTCCTTCTTTAAGGATGACGAGCACACTTCCCTTATATGCTCCCCGCAGCCTCATTCATTTCAGGGAGCAGCAGCTTTTTCAAGCCCCTCCGTTAAATTCTCTTTTTATTATTACCTTCTGAGATTCCTATTTCATTCTTTTTAATGTGTGTGGCTGCTGTTGCATTCGGTTGTCCTTGTAAAAATCAAGCCACACATATTTGTCATGGCTTCATGATTTGTTCTCATTCACTACCCCACAGATTGATGGCTCAGATCCATCCATCCGTAGCCTGAACGCTGCCTCAGACAGTCCTACTCGACAGAGCTTGAGGTTGCCGGGAGTCGAAGTCAACTCAGCGGCAGCCGGCTTTTCTTTCTTGTTTAAATGTATAAAAGGAATATATGGTTGGGTATTATTGGTGTGATGAGAGTCCAGTATAAGAGCTGCGTAGTAAAGTGGTCTGGGGGAGGGACTGTATAACAGTGAAAGAACTTTTCTTCTAAAGAAAAAAATGAACTGGGGGGGTGGGGAGGACAGGGTGGAAAAAGTGCAACAATCAATGAATGAATGGAAATCCAAGTTCTTTATAAACTTACAATAAAATATCAATTAAAAGGAAAAAAGTATGATTTTTAAAATTGACAGGCAAAAAATCTGAGGTTTGGGGAAGTCTAGGTCTTCTTAACCAGGGAGCCCTGGTGGCTTGGTAGTAAAGGAGTTACGCTGCCAACCCAGAGATGTGGGGCTTGAATCAATCAACCGCTTAGCAGGAGAAAGATGGTTAACCTACCCTCATGTGGCTTACAGCCTCTGAGAGTCCACACGAGGGTCAGCTGTAAGTCAGTTCTGACCCGAGAGTACAGAACAGAACCTAGCACAACATAGGCAAAAGCACTTGCCAGAAGTTATTAAATGCATTTGCTGAAGTCTCTAATCTTCAGCAGTGTTTCAAGTCTGTTTTCCTTTCATCCAGTAAGGTTTTGTCTTCTGCATATTGCAGATTGCTACTAATTCATCCTCCAACGGATGGATGGATTCACACAGTAACTAGGGTAATGGGGACAAGTGTGTCAGAGACAGTGACAGCATAGGGTCACAATGAATCGCAGGTGACTTGATGGCATGTAACAACAACAAGAACAATGCTGATTGTTCTTCAAATAGTCCAGCTTCTTGGATTAATGTGGTCAGCACACAGGCTGAATACAACAGTAAAAGAACACAACCCTGACATCCAGCTCTCCTGTTTTTAAAACCCACAATATCCTTCCTCTTTTCCTGTTCACATGACTCCCTCTTGGTCAGGTTCCACATGAGCAGAAAGAATTGGGTGTCATTCTTGGAACACTCTTTGTCTCTTGAAACATGAAATTCATCTAAACTTGGTAGTAACACATAGTTTCTCTTAGACAGAGAGGATTAGAGCATTAAAGTGTTTTCTTTAAATAATTAGTTGATTTTTTATAGACCTAGACTGTGATAATAACTTTGTGCAAGATTCATTATTATTTTGTCAGGATAACATCATCACAAATTCCTATAGCTTCAAATGTACAGAAAGTCATTTTAAACCTTTTGCTAGTGGCTCCATTTTATTTTAATAGTCATTTTGTGTCCCTGGGACCCTTTAACTCCTAGTATCAGACCGTTACTTCCAACTTGCCTAAGCATAAAAAAAAAAAAATAAAAACCATTCGTTCACATTCTTTTCAAGCCCCTAATTGCATCTGGGACAGCAACAGCTGGACAAGGGCTTCTCACTGTTAAACCCGAGTCTCTTTATTCATCATCTTTGACCATTTCTTTGTGGTGGTGTGCTCCTACTGTTGTTGTTGTTGTTGTTGTTATGTGCCATCGAGTCGTTTTCGACTCATAGCGACCTTATGCACAACAGCCCTAAACCCTGCTCTATCCTGCACCAACCGCACTGCCTCTGACACACCCATCCCGATTACCCCAGTCACCGAATCAATCCATCTCATAGAGGGTCTTCCGCTCCTGCGCTGTCCCTCCACCCTCCCAAGCATGATGTCCCTCTCCAAGGACCCGTCCCTCCTGGCAACATGTCCAAAGTATGTCAGACGAAGCCCCAGAATCTTTGCCTCCAAGGAGTAGCTTGGTTTAATCCTCTCCAAGATGAATCTGTTTGTTTTCCTGGCAGTCCATGGTACATTCAGTACTCTTCTCCAGCACCACAGCTCAAAAGCATCCACTCTCCTTCTGTCCTCCCTAGTCATTGTCCAACTCTCTGATGCATAACAAGCGATTGCAAGACCATGGCCTGTATCAGGCACACCTTAGTCTCCAGAGAGACACCGTTGTTCCTGAGTACTTTAGAGAGGTCCCTAACAGCAGACTTTCCCATCACGATACGCTTTTTGATTTCCTGACTGCTGGTGCCGGGAGTGTTGACCATGGAGCCGAGCAAACTGAAGCTGTGAACAATCTCAATCTCTTTGCCATCCATCCTGATTGGTCCAGTGGTGAGAATCTTTGTCTTCTTGACATTGAAAAATGGGGTTGCCTTCATAGTAAAAAGTGCTCCTACTAGTCTGGGAAAATAAGAATGTCAACAGTACTTTAAACTTATATTTACCTCAGTCCACCAACTCCGTAGCTCAACCTTCCAGAAAGATCTCTTTGGCCAATCTTGACTTTCCTGTGAATCATATCCTGGGACACGAGACATGACGTACTTTGATGGTTATTGTGTTACAAGTTCCTTCCTGATAGCAGGGGACTGGGAACTCTGACTTCCAACCACAACATTCCACAAGGTAGCACCTATTCAGGAGCACATATCCCAAAAGAAGGGGGTGTGAGAGGGCTTTTATAGACTGTACCTACAACAGGAGGCACTAACACATGCAGGGACAACTGGGAGCTACCTAAGATGTTGATTTCAGAAGAGGATCTGTTATTGCAGATTCAGTGATTCATCAAATAACCCACATTTTACTTCCCTCTTTGCCGTTACCCTTTCACAGTGGATGATAAAAAACAAAAGCAGAAAGGGAAGTAAATTCTTTTAAAACTAGGACTTATCCTTTCATCATCTTCCTTTCAGATCCTGTCTTAGCCTCCTGCCTTTAGCCCTGACAGTTGTCGTTTTACTTATGTCTTCATGGGCTGAGAGAAACCCTTTCGAACTGCATTCAGTCTTCATTTTGGTCCGCTTGTGCCCATGACAGTGTCTGGCTGAAGGTCCTGCACTCTCCAGATGTGGCTAGGATCACCTGGCAGTCACAGGCATCCACGTGCCTGTGTGACAAGAGGAACCAGGGCACTGGAAAGATCTCAGTTTCATGACTGATTTGTGCTGATACTGGAAATCAAACGCCATTCTCTTCATATCTCTAGTTTAGGCTCTCTTTTCCTCCTGTTTATTTCTTGACTTGGCAAAGGAGCCAGGTGAAATCAAGGAGAAGGTCTGTGTGTGCCAGTCCACACTCTTGTTGGCTGCGTGCTAAGTGCCTGACCCGATGGTGACAGCATTTGGTCTGGTAATTATGGCAGTGAGGTTCCTATTTTAAAGAGGACTTCTCTCTGAGGATCCAAGTGGTGTGATTTATCCCACCCGCTATGAGTGGGGACCCCCTCTTGAGCCGTCTGCCACAATTTCATGTGTGGGAGAGACCTGCCTTAACTTTAAAATGGTTAATTTTATACTGTGTAGATGTACCTCAGTTAAAGAAAAACAACCCAAACCTTAGAAATGTTGTTACTGGATTTGATCCTCATTGGACTTGTTTTTGTCAAGTTGATTCTGATTCATCGTGACCACACAGGACAAAGTAGAACTGCCCCGTAGGACCTCGAAGTCTGGCACGTTTGTGGAAGTGAATTGCCTCCTCTTTCTTGAAGGGAACATCGGATGAATAGAACCCTCAACTTCTAGGTTAACAGTTGAGTGTTTAACAATTTCACCAACAGGAAACCAAAATCCGATTCTCTGTTGTCGAGCCAATTGTGAGTCATTGTTACCCTGCAGCACAGAGTTGAACTTCTCCATTGATTTTTAAGTCTTAATGTGGTGCATGTTGTTCTGGTAAGCAAAAGATCAATGGTTCAAATCCACTAGCACCTGCTATGTGGCAGTCTCCGCCCATGAAAGATCTACAGTTTCAGAAACCCAGGAGGGTTGTTATGAGTTGGAATTGACTCAGTGGCGGTGTGTTTTAGTCTTTGTGGAAGCAGATACCCACATTTTTTATGAACAGTGGAAGTTATATTTGAATTTCTGACCCTTCTTTTAACAGCCAAGCACTTAACCATGGTTACAGCAGAGCTGCGTGTATTCAACAGGAAGTTGTACAGTTCCAAATGGTTTCACTATATTTGGTTGTTTCTTTGTCAGCACTTTCAGACCATGCTGAAGTCGAAACTGAATGTCCTCACCTTGAAGAAGGAGCCCCTCCCAGCTGTCATCTTCCATGAGCCGGAAGCCATTGAGCTGTGCACCACCACTCCGCTGATGAAGACCCGGACACACAGCGGCTGCAAGGTAGGGGATGCGGAGTCCACAGAGACCCTCCTGGTACGGTAGCCAGAAGGCTGTGTGAGCTTAAGACACGTGCTTCACTGTGGAACTTGTTAGTTTTGGTCAGAATAGATACAGTCACATCCATTTCAATAATTTTCATTTGTTAAACTTTGAGACATTTATTATGCTCTTCAGGTGAGTGGAACGGTCTCACCATCCATATTGTTTCCTCCACTGCTTCTCAACTAACCTTTCCAGTTCAATGATGTTGTTGCTGTTGTTATGTGCCATCGAGTTGCTTGCGACTCATAGCGACCCTGTGTACAAGAGCCCTAAATGCTGCTCTATCCTGTGTCAACCTCGCTGTCTCAAACACACTCATTCCCACCACTGCACTCACAGAATCGATCCATCTCATCAAGGGTCTTCCTCTCCTGCGCTGCCCCTCCACTCTCCCAAACATGATGTCCCTCTCCAAGGACCAGTCCCGCCTTGCAACAAGCCCAAAGTTGTCAGACGAAGCCTCAGAATCCTTAACCCCAAGGAGCAGCCTGGCTTCACCCTCTCCAAGACGAACCTCTTTGTTCTCCTAGCAGTCCATATTCGACACTCTTCTCCAGCACCACAGCTCACAGGTATCAGTTCTCTTTATATCATCCTATTCATTGTCCAACTCTCCGATGCATAGCACATAATTGCAAAGACTATAGCCTAGATTCCATCATACATAACAACAAATATATCATGGAGCTCTTATGACATCGTCTGTAGGAAATTGCACTACTACCCAAGGCTTTACCTCTCTGGGTGTTGGAATTCAACAGTGGCTACAAGGAAGAAAGACAGACAGTCTCCTCCCATGAGATACATAGCCTCTGAAAATTCACTAGAAGGTCAAGTATGAATTGTTTCTAACTTAATGGTAATGAGGATAGATATAGGTGTAGATATAGACATAGATAATCCAGAGTGCCAAAGAGCAATTATATCAGTCTAGAGACTAAGGTGTACCTGATCTAGGTCATGGTCCTCTCAATTGCCTGCTATGCATCTGAGAGCTGGACATTGACTAGGGATGACAGAAGAATAGATGCCTTTGGGTTGTGGTGCTGGAGAAGGGTGTTGAACATACTGTGGATTACCAAGAGAGCAAACAGGTCTATCCTGGAGAAGGTGAAAACAGACAGTTCCTTGGAGACAAAGATTTTTAAACTCTTTCTCACAGACTTTGGGCATGTTGTTAAGAGGGATCTGTCCTTGGAGAAGGACATCATGCTTAAGGTAGAGGGTTAGAGCAGGAGAAGGAGAATCTGAATGAGATGGATTGACACAGTTAATGTGTCAGAGATGATGAAGTTGACTCAGGATAGGGCAAGTTCAGAGTCATTGTTCATAGGCTGCCATGACTTGAAATCAACTTGATGGCACATAACAACAACATAAATATATAGACATCAGTTTTTGTTTATTGTGTACCATGGAATCAGAACCAACTGTCTTTATATATAAATATATTTTTTTAATCTAGTACTGTAGCAATGGACTACAATATATCAGAGATTTTGAATCTGGCACAGGACAGGGTTAGCTTCAGATCTATTATTCATAGAGTCCCCTTAAGTTGTAGTGAAATCGGTAACAGCTAACAACACACACACACACCCACACACACACACACACACACACACACACACACATAATGACATTAGGGGACAATTTTGTTTAAAGCTTAAAGATTATCTCAGGACAGTAGTTTCAATTGTTACTCAGCTTTAATGGCTCTCTAAAGTCAGAATTCTATTAAGAATTTGAGATTATCTTTACCATTATTCCCTCTTTTGAATACAGTCTTTCTTTAGATTCTTTCATCAAAAGGATGAGCAAGTATAGCTGGGCACCATCCATTTCCTCTCGTCTCCAGCAGAGGAAGCACTTTTCTAGGAGCCTAGTTTTGAGCAACATTCTAATTGGCTCATATTCTATCTCAGTACTTCTTCTGGACCTACTAGTTCACAGAGCAGTACCCAATGACCATTCAAGGTGCAGCTGCACATCTCCATTCACCTGGAGCAGAAGACGACAAATTGGTAATTGGAGGAGCAAACGAAGGCTGGAGAAGAGGTTGAGATTCTGGTTACCTCCACGAACAGCTCTCTCCTTTGCCATGTGATCAGAACTAGAGGTTACTATTAACGTGATAACTTTTAAAAAAAAAACAGCAATAGAAAACATTTCACAATATAAGCTTATTGAGTGATTGACGTATGAATTAATTCACTGCTTCTTCTTTCTTAGTGCTGGGGTACTCTTCCTCGTCTTTTCAGGGCTCATATCAAAGGCCTGGCTTTCAAGATGTGTCAATGAAATGGTGTTCCAGCCCTGTGTCTGTAACCCTGGAGAGCTTCTCAGTCTCATAGGAAAAGCTTTCCCTTCATAATAATTTCTTTCTTTTTACTCTCAATCTGAATAAAATGTTTAAAAAAATGGAGGAAGCAGCAGAAACCCCTCAAGTTCAGAACAATTGTGTTTCCTGAATCCTTTGGGGGTAATTTTGCATTTTTGCTGTGCTTCAGCTCTCCAAGTTTACACTAACACTCTTGCCTCTGAATCCATTAACAAAACAAAACTTTTTTTCATTTATGTAAACTGCAATGCTGACATGAAACAAAAGTAGAAATGAAGTGTATAATTTTGGTCAACATTTGGATTCGGTCTCTTAGATACTCTTTTTCATTTGAGCCGGCAAATATGGCAATCGGCTTAGAGGTAACAAAGAAAATATGTTTTATGCATACTTTGTCATTCAGAATTTGTTTTGAGTAGTGAAAATAAAATAAGAGCCAAAAAACATAGAAAATTCCTCTCCACATACGGATTTCCTTTCTAATCGTGTGAATACGTTCCTCTATTGCGTGATTGCTTGCTTTATTGCTTCCAGGGTTAGGCAAGCTAAGATTGATTGATATTTCTTGCAGAACATTCCACGGTCTCCCTGTTGGTTTTTTGTGCAGTTGAGTTGATTTCTGCTCAGAATGGTCCCTGTGTGCAGAATAGAATTGCACCCACATGGTTTCCTAGTCTTCCAGCTTTACAGCGGTAGATCAGTCACTTAGTGGCTTTGAAATGCTGTCATCTTCTGTTTGACAGCAGGATATCTTAACTCCTTTGCTCTACAAGGGTTCGGCTGTGGTCAAGTGGGAGCCTGCAGCCATGGTGGATGACAGTGGCCTACATATACCCTCATACTCATTCGTTCCACAATGCTATTGATATATTGAGCTCCTGGTTGGCCAAGCACTGGGGCATAGTCTGGGTAAGGTTGGACCAGAATCTTTGTGGAGTTTCACTACCATTTGGGACGGAGGAGGATGGTAAATAAAATTTGACAAGTGGTTTCTGTGATAAAGTCAGTCTATGAAGAACTTAGGAAATAAGCTTTCCATCAGAAAGAATAAGTCAGATCAAGATCAAATTCGTTACTCCCAAGTTGACATACCTAATGGTGACCTCTTATGTCAGCATGGAAGTGTGCTTCATTGGATTTTCAGTGCATTCTAACCACATTCTGTACTGTTCATAGAGTTTTCAAGATTCTTAGCAAAGTTAGCAAGATGTTTGCTGTGCATCTGAGAGCTAGACAAATGAATAAGCCTGAGAGAAGAAGAATTGTTGACTTTAAGCTGTGGTATTGGAGAGGAGCTCTGAACATCCCATGGACGGCCAGAAGAACAAACAAACATGTCTTGGAGAGGGTGCAGCCGGAGTGCTCTTTGGAGGCAAAGGTGATAAAGTTTTGCCTCACATACTTCGGGCATGTTGCTAGAAGGGGCTACTCCTTGGAGAGGGACATGATGCTCGGCTGCCCTTGTTCATCTCAGATCCCCGTCTCCCCTCTGATCGGTATTCTCCCCGGGTCCTGGCGCGATTGTCCAGCCAGGCTATTCATGTAGCGGGCGGCCTGGTCTTTGTGTGTGTTCTCCTCTATTGCTGCCACTCACAGCAGAGGGATTTAACGGAACAGCCGGGTGCATACATTAAAGGGGTTGGCGAAGGAGAGGAAAGCCCTCCACCAACTGAATGACTGCAGTGAGGATGGCAGGGGGCTCTGGTGTGTCAGGAGGGCCAGTCGCTGTGGGTCATGCTTGACTCGATGCGACCCAACAACAACAACAAAATGTGCAATGGCATTATGAAGAACTGAAAAGTACTGTGGCAATTCCTAAAATGTGACTTGGGAATGACCACTTACTGTTGGAAAAAAACGAAGTCAATGGATTTGCTCCATACACAGTTGCCACAAACCTGCAATTAGTTAAAAACAAAGTATCTGTGAAATGCGGGGGGTGAGGGGGTGGAGGAGTAGTGGTGGCGAGAGGTGGGTGGTGGGGAAAGAGTGTAACAAAGAGGTAAGTCTGTTTATGTACACACCTGACTGCATTAGCATACACACACCATTTCCCCCCCAATATTTGATAAAAGAATAAAAAATGTATTTTTTTCTGAAATAGGGGTTTGTTTTTGTCATTTTAGACAGCTGTGAAGCAACTCCAACTCGTAGAGACCCTTGAGCCACAGACCCATCCCTGCCCGACCTTTTCCACCCGTACTGTCTCTGACACACTTACACCCTCCATTGCCGCCACCGTGACTCACTATCACATTGAGGATCTTCCTTGTGTTGACTGACTTTCTACTTTTCCAAATTCTAAATTCATGGTGGTGGTTGTGTTGTTGTGTGCCGTCGAGTTGGCTGCAACTCATAGTGACCCTATGTACAACAGCCCTAAATTCTGCCCTGTCCTGTGTCAATCTCACCATCTCCGACACTCCCATCCCAATTACCCCAGTCACTGAATCAATCCACCTCATAGAGAGACTTCCTCTCCTGCGCTGTCCCTCCACCCTCCCAAGCATGACATCCCTCTCCAAGGACTGGTCCCTCTTTGCAACATGTCCAAAGTATGTCAGACAAAGCTTCAGAATCCTTGCCTCCAAGGAGCAACCTGGTTTTAACCATCTCT